CCGAAGATGCCAATTCCAAAAAATGCCAAAATATGAGTAACTCCCACGAGGGGGATATTCGGCAAAGAGGGAATGACGCCTAGAATGGTGTTCTAAGATCCAAGAATTTGCATGCCTGGACAGCCAGGGCTCGGAACAATTCCTTTGCATTCAGGCAGTTCTTTGGCTTAATTTATGCCTTGTTAAGTCTGATGTAAATCCGGAGTCATAAGGCTAGTGTCAAACGAAAAATGCTCATTACCGAAACGTGCAAAAGTTATGATAGAAAAGAAGTTCTGCCGACGAGAAGCAATCAATGCCAATACAGAAGCCGAGATGATGGCTGGCCAGTAAGGGATCTCTTCGCCTTGGTCATTGTACGTCTAGAAACGGTATACGAACGTCCCAAAAAAAAGTACCCCCCTCTAGCAGCGCGCAGTCGTCTGCAATTTTTACGACGCAGGTATCCATCCCCAGCTCTCCCCCAGGCGAGACAACAAGCAGGGTTCATTTTCGTCATTATGTCTTTTTAATCGCGAATTTTACGTCCAAAAATACAAACCAAAACTTTTCAGCGCCTGTGTTTCTATAAAAAATAGTCCATGTGTGTGTGTGTGTGTAGAGACACTTTGCATGCAACTTCCTTCAGTATCATTTTCAGTCGTATCTCGGTAGAAAAAGGGTTTTACAGTATGTTTGATACGTCATTAGATGTGCAATCGTCTCCGAGACGCCTGCACATAATGTCAAACTATCGAAAAAGCGCTATTTTCGACATTAAAATTAAGTTATTGTAAAAATTTCGGCCCCAACTTTGTTGAAGACCGAATTGGCATACGCCGGAAGCGAGAAAAGTCAATATAAAGGGGCAGGCGCATTTTGATTTTTTTACAAGTGCGGTTTGGGAGAATGAAGTACTTCTGGAAGTCGAGAACTCTCATTGGATAAGACGGGTCCAGGGATGAAAGGTCATGAAGCGACCCCACAACCAGAGTTTGTGTCTTAATAAAGTAGTCTTTATCGGCAATGTTTTATAGCCTAACCCAAAAGTCACCTACCACCAGGCCCGTAGCGGAACCGAAATTTCGGGAGGCCCAAAAATTTTGGCGACCTCCCCCCGGTCGGCACTTTTAAAACATCCGAAAAGTCCCAATAGCAAGCGCCGCAGGCAAAAAAAAAAAAAGCGTTCAATACTCAAATTCGTGTGAAAACACGGCAGAAAACGCGCCACCAGGCCAAAATTTTCCATGAACAATTGATTCACCAATGAAAAATCAGCGCCGCAGGCATTAAAAATTACGAAAAAATGAGGCTTCACCTAAGTAAAAACTGTTTTGAAAAACGGTAATGAAGCAACGCCGCAGGCAGAAAAGAAGCCTGTAACTAAAAATCCATACAGGTCACCCATTATGAATTTTTCGGACCTCGACAGATTTCAGGGGGACCAGGGCCCCCTAGACCCCCTCCCCTTCCTAAGAACCTGCCTACAAAAACATAAATTGTCCAAAACTGGGTATGTCCTCCGCCTGCCGCCCAAAATCATCCCAAAAATTTGCATGAAAATATTCTCTAAATCCAGTCAACGAACATGTCTTCGGAAATCTTACTTGTTCCGAGCAATTTGATAGCTTGAGCAGTGAAATGAAGTCTTTACACCAATCCATTTAATAATATAGACAGCGTGACGTAAGAATATAGCTTTGTTTATTCAGATCGCCAATGATATTCGGGCTAAAGTCCAATTAAAAGCAGTCCAATCAAATTATATTACAAGTGTCGCAAAAAAACGAACCGTCTGTATTTTCATCGTGTGTTATCTAATCCAGCTTCAAATTTGGAACAAGAGATGCTTATCATACCCTAAATAACAGCAATCCTGACTTTTTAACTTTATAGCTATAGTAGTTCTCGAGTTATAACAAAAATACCGTTACCAATTTTTAAACAGTTTTTCAGCCCACCTTTTTGGACTTTGCATCTATTTGCGTCCATTTCAGCTGCGAATTCCTAATTTTGCTTAGGAGCCTGGGTAATTTTGCGTTGTAAAAAATAACCGGGATCAGATTTTATATTAATGATTGTGGATGAAGTTAAATTTAATCCGGAAAAAAATTTAAAATAAAAGAAGGCCTACCGGATCATTTTCACTTAATGTTTAGGTGGTAAAAATTCACAAAGAAAACACGAAAAATGGAAAATAACGTTTGTTTTTGTTATAGCTACTATAGCTACGGGGCTATAAGTCAGGATTGTGGAGGATATCTTAGGTCTGATACACCTCTGGGCGGTCAAAGGCTTTAGGGATGATATAGATGTAACAAAACTAAACTCCCTGATAGTTTTTTCGTTTTGTGGGACACCCTGTATGGTATCTTTACCTGCTAACGGCCAAATATCGATAAAAGAAAATGGAACATCACGACGGCTAATATTTGCCTAAAATATACATAATACCGATACCAGGGTAGATTACTCCGAATGTAAAACCCCAGAAGACGAGGCCGCAATGGGCCAGTGTAGGGGATACCAGTAGAATCCCTCCAGGAAAAATACAAACGCATTTTTGATGACAACAAGGTGTAAAGAAAAATAGACTATGTAGCTCTACAGCTTACCGGCATTGCCAGGATGGAAATTATTGGAAAAATGACGTTACAGGTGGTAAATAGTAGCATCAGGTATTTGTAGGTGCCTGAAAATGTGAAAATTGGCTTTTGGTAGGCGATAGAGCGTAATCTATCACTTTCATGCGGTCTTAATGTAGGTGGGAAATGCAAAAAAACATATTTTCAATCTTACCAAGCTCTTTTCTCGAATAGTTAATTATCAAATAGAACAGCAAAACATTGGTAAAATACGCGGCAAACCCATGAACATAGGAAATATACATGACCGTCTTATCGGAGAAACACCATCTCAAAAAGCTAGGATTGCAAGAGGCAATGATTTGAGGGATCAGGGTAGCGGCAGAATTACACAGTTCAAGTCTCAGAACGTGGACGCAGTTCTGGAGAAGCATTCTGTCCCTTTTCCAGGCATCGCCCAGGCTAGGAACCAAAATTTTCGACTCCACACAAAGTCTTGGCAAAAATTTGCGTGTTGTATTTCGTCTGGTTCTTTTTGCCGAAAGTGGCGGCGCGTGTTCAGAGCAAAAAATAGGGCGTTAATTGACATTACAGTGATTGCATAAATAACCAACCGACAATTGGTCACATTGAGAATTGTTATTTTCAGAACGGGGCAATAACACCCATTTTTTGGCTCAGACTAACAATAAATGGAAATTGAGCGCTAAATAGGTTACGTTGGCGGCCGGGGGAGGTGAGTTATCAGGCGTTTCATGCTTGACTACATGGCTTCTAGCTGATATCATTAGTCTGCGGGCTGAGTTAAAAACAATGTGAATCTATTGGGAATTCCTAACGGGACCAGATTTCTAGAAAAATCTTATTTAACAAATTGCATGTTTTTGTGCAAAGTAGCAAAATGTACCTAGCCAGAATGAAAACAATAGGCTCGGGAAATTAGGTCATTCGAAAACTCGTTATTGCTCTTTATCCAGTGACTTAGTCGCTACCCAAATCGTTTCCGCCGCAAAATCAACAACATAACAGGAAATCACCATGTCGTTGTTGTTACGCTTTTTGTCCATGTGCCTAGCGGAATTGAATTGGGCATTGCTCGGCCAACAAAATGGAAAATGGGCTAGACGTACTTTAAAAAACTAAATTTACATAACCACGACCGTTCTAACTTCTAAAAAATGGCATCATTCCCATTGTCATTCCTTTCCGACGGAGTCCGATTTCCGCTCAGAAACCGAGCTCGCCCCGGAGCGTGATCACGATCAAAGTGGGAATTATGAAGAGTTTCAAATTGAGCTTGAGGTACAATTGATGAAAAACCGAAGACGGCCTGCCCGTGGCCGCTCGTCCTCGGCATCGGGGGGATTGTGCTTCTTTTGCTGACCGGTATCTCAACGTTATCCGCGACTCACTCTATTTATAGCTTTCGTCTCCCTTCAAATTGGGCCGAACAATCGGGCCCAGACGCTCGATCAACATGAGGCTCCCGGGTCTGGGCAAACCTCTTCCGAATCTCCTGAAATTCCGGTATTTATCAAGCAGCTATCGCCGCAGTGAGTCTTTAGGGTCCAACTACGAATGTTATCGAGAACTTGTGCACCACCAAGGGATGTACAGAGGCCGCCAGTTTGATAGTGCGTCTTAATCTTGGAGGCTATCTAACAAAGCATACACCTGACAGGATCTGGTGCTTTCGGATTATCGCAAGGGATCCCGATTTTTGTATCGGCCCAGAAATGGTTAGCAAGGAATATCAAGCATCCTGCTAGTTTCTGGACCAACATTAATTCAAGCTTTATATAAAGTTCAAGAGCTATCTAAGTAACACTAAAAATTTAAGTTTAGAAATTTTGGCTACGGTTTACTTTACCCCCCCCCCCCCACAGCCGGAAGTTTTTCCTATAACTTTTTTATTTTACATTATTGTAGCCAAATTAAAACTCTTAGTATATTTTCCGACGCTCTATCCGAATGGCGTTGCAAAAATCCCGACAAAATAAGCGAAGATACCCGGAAACTTTGAGACCCCCTTCGCCTGTGGGGGGAGGGAGGGTAAAGTAAACACTTTCCGAAATTTTAGTCAAAAACTGGCCGTCGAAATCTATACTTCTTCGTATTTAATGCATGAAATATCTAGTGCTTTTGCGTTTCGGAAAAGTTAAAATAGCTCACAAAACAATACCCTCAATTCATAATAGTAAGTTTTCGATACTAAAGAAAAAGGTTGCTCACTCCCAATGCGAGCAGACCTAAGGGTTTTCCCTTGCCCCCGTCCCTTATTGCGAAAAAATCAGTTTCCGCTTTCCAGATCGAAAACCTGAACCCGACCCTCGACCCGTGCGAGGACTTCCACGAGCACGCCTGTGGTGGATGGAATCAAGTACTAAAGGCTCCAAAAACTTGACCAAAATCTAGATACACGCCGATCCTTTGGTGATGGACTTCTCCGTCAAGCTCAACCAGCAGCTCTTGGGTAATATGAAGGGTCATTCTCCTTTAGAACCAAACTTCAGAGCTGATCATCAACGACAAGTCGGGAATGGCAGCCGTCGAGAAGGCCAATGCTTTCTATGAGAACTGCAAAGCGCTTCGTGCCGAGAACTTCAACGCCGATCTGCAGAATTACGTCAAAAAGTTGGGCGAGGTGCGGCTGATCGGGCAGGAGCTGGAGCCGGGAATGGTACTGATTTTTGGGTAGATTGACGCTTTTTTCTCACATGCTTCTTTCTCTCTCTCTCTCTCTCTCTCTCTCTCTCTCTCTCTCTCCTCCGATAATTATACTTTAGGAAATGCCGAGCCTCACCTATTCGGTCCTCGTGACCTTCCTTTTCCATCCGTGGAGCCGTCCGCCGAACACCTTCTTACGCGTCGAGGCCACCATCGAGCCGAAGATTTCGGTGGGGGTGAAAATTTGGAAAACACAAAGATACCTAGTTTGTGTTCAACGAGCCGTGGGATATCTTTTTTCGGAGGTCAGAAGGAGGAGATGGAGATGAGCACGGCGGTGGAAAAGGTAAGGCCATACATGAGGCTTTCAGGCGTATTCATGCGCTAAAACCGGGATTCACGAAGTCAATAAGGTACTCCGAAATTTTTAGGGAGGCCTAAGGAATATAGAAAAGTAAGTTCTGCTGCATAAGACAGTCACAGAAACGTCTTATAAGCGATTGAAACATCAAATCTCCGCGCTGTGTAAAAGTGAAAAGCCGTCGGAAAGGCGAGAAAACAAGCGCTTTTCGTTTAACAAAATTTTTTACCCCGCGCGCGATATTCAACGATTTGTTAAAAGGCACAATCAGCCTCGTCCTGTTTGCCTTAGCAAGAAATTGATATACGAATTTTGCATAAAATGTACAACTTTCACGGATTTTGGCCCTGAATTTAGTGAATAAAAATGCCTTTATTGAAAAACGAAAAGTGCTTGTTTTCTCGCCTTTCCAAGGACCTTTGATAGATATCTAAATCGCCACATCGGACACGACTGCGGCCCGCTAGAGGGGGCCGATTTCTTGGGACACCCTGTAGATAATTTTTGTATAGCAGGACGTAACACATTTTTTTTCTTTTTTAGGCTGTGACTACTTGGAACCACTGGGCTTCACCATCAACAAAGAAACCCGTCAGGCGCAGACCGAGGAGCTCGTGGCGCTCTACATGAAGCTGCGCGCGGTCTATCAAAACCGGAAATGTATTTCTAATGTCCTTTCAGGTATTCGACAACAAGCTGCCGAACAAAGAGTTCAACTATTCGATCAACGAATTCCAATCAATCGCGCCGATGGTCAAAAAATGATCTGAAGATGTACATACGTTTTTATAGTACGACTGGCTTCACTTTATCCGCTGGCATTTGCCAAACTACGAGCGGCAGCTCACCGGCCAGACGCATATCACGTACAAGCAAGAGTATGACGTGGCAGCGGTTGAGCGTGTGAAGGACGAAGGGAAAACTATTCTTCAGATCCTCGAAAGTTCTGCTCGACACCCCACGTCATGTCGTCCAGAACTTTTATTCTTGAACTGGGCCCGCCATCTGAAGGAGCGCTTCGACCAACGGGCCCAAATTGGATGCCAAATACGGGTATTTGCACCGCTAAAAGTCCAGTACCTTATATCTTTTTGCTGCCCTTTCCAGGTCCTCTACTACTTCCGTAAACTCACCGAACACCTCGCCATCAGCAAGATCCGATTCAAAAGTGATGTTGAAGATGTGAAGGTAACTCAAAGATCCGCAGCCACATTTAGCAAAATCAGAATCTGGGCAAAGAGATGCGCCGCGGTTTTCACCGAGTGTTCGACGAAAACACGTGGCTGAACCAGGAGACCAAGACCTACCTCAAAGAACGGGTATTTTACGGGCCAAACGGGTCATTTTTCCAGCTCGACGCCATCAAGGAGTATTATGGGTACAATAATAACGCGCTGGATAAGAAGAAAATCGATGGATTCTACGAGACGGTGGGAGAGTTCCTGGAGTAGTGTTATTTTTGGAAGGTCGATGAAACTAAAAAAAAATGATTTTATAAAAATTCTGGATGCCGAAATCTCATCATTTTGGAATTCCATACCGCAAAATCGCAGTGTTCAAAATGTTCATGAAGAAATCAGCTAGAAAACGTCAAAACCGTAAAATCTCGGCACTATGAAACTTTGAGATTTTGAAATTTTGACAAAATAAATCTCAATATCATGATTGCAAGCCCGCAATGTCGAAATTACGTAAATTCGTAACCGTAATATTGCTGCGTTTCGTACTACGAATGCCGATCGTTAAAAAATGACGATGCTTCTATTTTCGACATTCACTTACCAAATCACTAGCATACCATTAACATCTTAGCTCCCGGTACCCGACGAATGGACCCTGATCACCATGATGCAATTCGAAGAACGGGCAGCCTGGTTCGTCCAACATATGGTATACTGTTCGTTAACAGCCACCCAATTCTGACCCTCCAGGATTTGATGGGGGAGCCGGCGCTCGAGCCGGCCATGCCGTTAAGGGCGTTTAATGGGGGCAACAAGTTGATTGGTTCGTTGCAGCTTTTAAAAAAAAATCGAGCCACTTCAAATCAAAAATCCAAATCAATTCAGCCATCAGCCTCGGCATGATCGCCGCCCCGTTCTACAACCCGAATTGGCCGCTCGAGTTCCACTACGCGGGCATCGGACAAATAATCGCACACGAGCTGACGCACTCTTTCGATGAGCAAGGTGAGGTTTTAACAGTTTTAGCAACAAGTTCGATTTTAGAAATTTTTGAACTTCTAGTTCCGGCGAAATGAGTGTATTTTAGGCGACCTGCCCTCGGGAAATGTTGGCAACGACACAGACGAGTTTGAAGGGAAGGCCAAATGTTTCGAGGACCAGTTCGGCAACATTATTTACGAAAACCCACGCTTCAACATCACCGCCAAGGTAACGAAACGTGAAAACTAGCAACTTCTGAAATTGAGGCCGACGGAGCACAACAGCGTATCGAGGCCCTCCCGGATAACAACGGCATTCGCATCGCTTGGAGGGTAGGTTTCGGCAAATTGGCTATCTCTCACTCACTATCTCTCTCACTCTCTCTCACTTTATCTATCTCTCACCCTATCTATCTCTCCCACTCTATCACTCACTCACTCTCTCTCACTCTATCTATCTCTCTCACTCTCTCACTCACTCTCTCTCTCTCTCTCTCGCGCGCATCTCTACCCCATCCTCTACCATCTTTAATTTCCAGGCGTACCTTGAAAAACGGCAGAAGCTCTACGGCCGCAACCCACCCAAGCTGCCCGGCCTCCAAGAATTCACCAATGATCAGCTCTTCTACTTGGCAAACGCCCAGGTAACCATCGGAATTGAAACAGATCAAAAATTTCTAGTTCTATTGCGGACGCCAGGACACCATCTACCCGAATCAGACACCAGGAGAGCGCCGCTGGCTTGAGGAGTCAGTTTTTTTGGGCCCTAAAAAAGAGAGCGCCATTTTCAGTCGACACCCGGTGCCGAATGTTCGTCTCAACGGGCTGTTCCAAAATTTTAAACCGTTCGCTACGACCTTCAAGTGCAAGGTGAGAATAGAAAAGAAAGCGCGAGAGAGAGAGAGAGAGAGAGAGAGAGAGAGAGAGAGGGAGAGAGAAGGACAAAGAGACAGAAACAACCTAGGCGTCTTTTTAGCCGAATACGCCAATGAATCCGCCGCGCGAGTGCAGAGTCTGGCGCCACCGCATCCATTGAAGCTCTACCGTACCCCACGTCAACCATAACCCAGACGACCAACTAACCGGGCCTTCCTACCATGTCCATAATGTAATAATATACCAGACTTTGTGTTTTTTCTGTATTTTTTGGGCTTTTTTGGAATAAAAGGTGCTTTCGGAATCTTTACTACCATGTTTTTTGCATCTTAGGATCAATATCATCCAACAAATGAGCTTTTTCAGTTTTCTCAGAACGCGCGGAATTCTCAGCCGAGGTCTAGGTGCAATATAACCGCTAACAAAGCAACAACCACAAGTTTTTCGTAGCCTTTCGAAGAGGGCCTAAAACCGGGCTATTAGCTGGATTTTTTCAACCTTGCCTGCATTTTGTTTTCTTGCCATCTATCCAACAAGCGAGCCTTTATTCATCAACTAACCACCGTATGCAAACGCTCCAATCTCACTCGATCTCGGTATTTCATCCAGTTTCTTCATCGCCACGGCGCGAAGATGGCCCAGCATCCCCACAATCAGCACCTCGGCATCCATCGGACGGTTGATGCGGTAGTAGGTCCAAGCGCCTCGCGTTCCGGCGTCCACGGTTTGCTTCGGGTATCGTCCGAAAAGTGCAGGGTGCGCCGCGCCCGTCTCATAATCATAATTCATTCCATGAACATCGATGGAAACGATCTGGCGCTCCCCTCTCAGCCATTCCTCGACCAACATCTGCGCGTACAATCCCAATTCGTGGTCAAACGAGCAGTGCGTGCCGAACCTCATCCGGGGCACCCTCAGGTGAATGTAGGCCGGCAGGGGTTCGGTGAAGTTGGTTGAGTACAGCTTGTCGGCCGATTCATTGATCCACTTCATCAGTTCGCGATCTGCCGGCAGGTAAATGCAGCTGAGGTACGCATATTTTCCGGGTGGCTTGTGGCGCTTGAGGAGGCCTAGCAGGTCTTGGTGCCTGAAGCGAGTCACGAACTCTCGGGCGCGAACACCGACGTCGTTGGCGCCTGGATTCTCTCGATGAACGGTCAGTCTGCCGATCGTGCGGTTCTCGAAAAGCAATTTCCGAGCGTCTTCGCCTCGGATTTTGTCGCGAATAAACGTCAGCTCGACGTGCCAAGGCCTTTCGCGCCAGCTGCTTGCCCTCCCCATCATCGTCTTGCTGGTGATCGCCATTTTGAAGAAGCTTTTCATGTCCAGTTTCTTCAAGATCTCGTGTTGCACATCGATGGGAAATGCGGAGAAGTCCATCGCTATCTGAAATTCTGGAATATAGCAAGGATGTAATGGGGCTGATATGGAATGAGACCGCAGGAAATACGGTGAGAGAGAGAGAGAGAGAGAGAGAGGGAGAGAGAGGAAGAGAGAGCTGATGATGATGGAGATGAAAAAGGGAGAAGGAGCGCGGTGGTATGTAAGGAAACACTGATAAAGAGAGCGAGATAGAGAGAGAGCGAGATAGAGAGAGATGGGGAGTGATATACAGGGTGCGGCAAAAGTTTCTGGACTTTCTCTTTTTCGGTCATAAAAGGACATAGAGGGCTCGTGGGGTCACCAAATTCAGCGAACTTGTAGTAGCAGTTATGGGGAATCAGAATTCATGCGCTTTTTCACGGCAGCCCTCGAGATTTTTGCTAAATGAGCCTTAGAAGTTGCCATTTTAATATCATTTCTAGGCTGCGCGGTACGCTGCTCCCGGCCGGGCTTTTTGACCAATAGCATTTTAACGGTGCATAGTAATGAAGCGATTTTTTGCTACCAAACAGTTTACAGCTTGTCGATCATGGTGGCAACTTCAGATTTGAATCCCAACGAGTTCTAATCATTGAAAATTGCACGTAAATGACCATTCAGAGGAGGCGATTTTCAAGGCTTTTTGAAACGGGTCCAGAAAACCGGAAATTGATCTATGGTAGTTTTTGAGAGTATTACTATGCTCGTACTATTCAATTGTTAAACTGGCCAAAATTACCCGGCTTGAATCAATATCGCAGATCCCGAACTTGGCCGAATGGACTGCGTGCCGCGAGGCTTTGAAACCGTAACTTCTATAGCTCCGTTTTCGAAAATTCCGTGAACTAGCAAAGTGTTTACGAATTCTCAATGAGCATCAGTTTTTTTTACAAAATCACCAAATTTGACGGTCTCACGGCTGCTCAAAGTCGTTTTATGGCGGAAACATTAAGTCCACGAACTTTTGCCGCACCCTGTAGAGAGTGAGCGAGCGAGGAATAGAGAGGTAGAGAGGTAGAGCGAGAGAGAGAGAGAGAGAGAGAGAGAGAGAGAGAGAGAGAAAGCGCACGCATAGTTGAATAAATACCGTCAATGAATTGCATGGTCAATGAATCGTCCAAGATTCTGATGGCCGAGCGGAAAGTACAAAATAGGCAAAAACTTGGACTGATCATTGAAATGGACATAGGGTTGGCCAACTAAGGGGGCGGGGGTGTAACTTGGCCATTAGCCCCGCAGCGGGATATCTGGCAATGATCCACTTGTCGCACGACCTGAAAGGCCAAGGGCATCGACAATATTTACCCATGGCACCTCTCCTCGCACCCCCATCAATTGTTGAATCCGAGCAATCATAACCAGGACTGGAGTCGCCTCAAAAAATGTGGATATTCTTAGTACATTGGGTCCGGGTTTTATGAAACAGATATAGAGAAAAAAGAGCGATAGAGATAAAGATAGAGGGAGATAGAAAAAGTGAGAGAGTGAGAGAGAGAAAGAGCGAAAGAGAGACAGGCACGGTCGTTTATAATTTTCAGGGCCTGCCCGCTTTGCGATTTTGCATTTAACGCCGTAGGAGAAATTGCCAGTCCTTGCGTGGTCGCGGCGTAGCGTAGCGTAAGAGTAGCTTAAACCAACCGAAAACCCTGTGCTTTCCACGATGCTACGTGTCTGAAACCTGGTATCCCAAAAAGGGCCCATCGGATATTTGGCCGCCTTACATCCGATCGTTCCGAAAATTCGAACCGAGGTGCGTCAGGCGCCAAATATCAACATTTCTGAATTACGGCCCGATTGCTCAAATAGTTCTCGAGTTACAACGAAAACAATGTTTTTTCGCAATTCCAAACAGTTTTTTCGGCCTAAATTGTGGTTATTTGTTTTTGTAGTTCCATTTGTGGCCCTCAAAACCAGGGATGAGAGCGATTTCATCGAGCTAATATAAGTAATTTGACGACTGTTGTGTATTCCCACAAAAAGATTAGCACTGTGTAGCTGAAAGATTTAATTTATTCACTTCTTTATGGACGGATTTTTGGGTCACAAAACATTCATCAATCACGACAATTGGCAAATTCAGTAATTTGATCGATGATACCGTCGACATAGCGGCAATCGAATTTCAATTTCTCAGGAGCGTAAAAGCGGAAAAATAAATGGTTATCAGAGACGGCGACAATCAGCGCTTCGCCACTGGCACGTCTGATACGGTAGTAGCTACATCCAGCCTTCTCGATGTAAAGGCTTGGGTAGGAGTCCAAAAATGTGGGTGGGTCCGGCGCTCCCCAGAGGAAGGCAGTATTTAAGAGCTTCAATCCTACCTTATATCATTTTGGAGTGTATCTGTGTGTGTGTGTGTGTATGTGTGTGTGGATGTCAATTTCGAGGCCCGATTTGAGGGCCTTCCCGTGTCCAAAATGCCCTAATTCTCCGTCACCCGGGGGAATCGACCCTCCTCTTTCCGATGGCGCTTTCAGAATCCCGATAAAATACAAGTTTACAAAGTTAAAGCCGGTTTTATTGTTTTTTGGTGGTGCGGTAGGGCTAATTTGCATAAAGTGAAAAAATACAAATTTCCTCATTCTTGCCAGTTGCACTCGCGAGTTTGGTCGTCTCTTTGGATCTGCCTCTCGATGCCTTTCCTTCCCGCGGCCCCGGACAATCCCCGAAAGGGGTTTTTGGCGCGTGCTGCCAAGCATTGCATGGTGTAGTGGTTAGCGCTTTGCCGTGCTAATCTAACCATCGGAAGTTCGATCCTCGGATATCGTAATTGTTTTGCTTTTTGCTCGGAAAGTGCGTTTCGGAGGAGATTTCCGTGTAGGGACGTTATTATCAAGTTCGTCACTCAAGCCGCAGCCTATAGAATGAAGCTACCCGTTCAAGCATACGCCGCAGGCCAAGGAATCAAGCTAACTGCTCAATCTAGCGCCGCAGAGTTTGGAACGACGCTAGCCGCTCAAGCTAGCGCCGCAGGCTTTGGAACGAAGCCAGCCGCTCAAGCTAGCGCCGCAGGCTTCAGAACGAAGCTAGCCGCTCAAGCTAGCGCCGCAGGCTTTAGAACGAAGCTAGCCGCTCAAGCTAGCGCCGCAGGCTTTGGAGCGAAGCCAGCCGCTCAAGCTAGCGCCGCAGGCTTCAGAACGAAGCTAGCCGCTCAAGCTAGCGCCGCAGGCTTTAGAACGAAGCTAACCGCTCAAGCTAGCGCCGCAGGCTTTAGAACGAAGCTAGCCGCTCAAGCTAGCGCCGCAGGCTGTAGAACGAAGCTAGCCGCTCAAGCTAGCGCCGCAGGCCTAATAACGACACTAGCAATTTAAGCTTGCGCCGCATGCCAATACAAAGAGGTTTGCATGGGAGATGCGTTTTTCTTTCTTCAGGGTAACTTTATGTGGAAGGGCGCTCGATTCATAGGGCCTAGACGGGGTCTAGCGGGGGATAGTCGAGAAGCGGCTCCTCCCCCCGCTGGTTGGATACGAATAATTTCACGGTCGCCTTGCAGCCATTCGTTCACCAGCGTGTCTGCATAGACATCAAAATGTGTGTCCTTTGCGTGATGAGCTACCTGCAACTTTGGGAGGAAGATTTCGAAAATCAGAAGGCTTTGTCTACAGGGTTTCCCAATGAAAAACACCCCCATCTAACTGGGCGCAGAAGTATCGGGTCGGAACGATATCTACACAATTCGAAAGCCCTAAAAAAGGCGAGCTTGCAACAATTTTTAAAATCATGTTTTTATTTCAACCCGCCAGTTTACAAGCTATTTTGTAAAATATTGCGGTTTTTTGGGGTTGCATCCGAGCTAATTTGCCTCAATCTCTGCAAGACCGGAAGTAGCCGTTAATTAGGAGCAGAAACTGTACTTGAAGGTGTTAAAATGCGTTATAAATTAAAGCGTTGAAGTAAAAACATGATTTTAAATCTTGTTGCAAACTGGCCGTTTCAAGGGCCTTCGAAGCTTCGAATGCTTCATTCCGATCCGATTCTTTTGCGTCGAGTTAGAGGGGGGGGGGTTTGGGACACCCTGTACTGGTCAATGAGAAAGAGACGGTTAACAAGGGAACCACCTAAGGTCGAAGTGACATTATCGTCTGGGATCAGGCCTATCTGGTATCGAAATTTTTGCCAGACATGGCAATTGGGGGAAACCAGGTCCCCGGGGCCGAGCCCCCGGCCCCAATTTACATAACTCGAGGCTATTTTCAGGCCCCGAAGAAGATTCAAATTTGCGGGGCCGGGGCCCGGCTCGGGCTTGTTGAGTTTAGCTGTGAAATAAGCTATTTTCACCATTTCCCATACAAAAAAACGGGTCGTCGATTTCTTCGATTTTCAAAAATTTTGAGCTAAAATGCTCATCGGATAGAGCCAATTTTCTGAATACGATGGCGATGTTCGTTTTTGAGAAATCAGCCGGGAAAGGCAATTGAATGACCTAGAAGTTGGTAAATTTCGGAATAATGGAACTTTGAAAGGCTATGACGTTCTAGAACGAGCTATTTGGCAAAAATTGGAAGCAGATTGAGGGTCCGAAAAAAATTCTGCACAAATAGGCTGGCTCCCAGACCGAAACGCCACCTCGACCTTAGGTGATTTTTTTGAAAAGTTCGGTATGCGTTTTTCGACTATGTTTCGGAATTTTAGGGAACTCGCTGAAATATTCAGAATAACGTTTTTTGATTTTTGATTGGATGCCTTAAATTCGTATCATAACCAACCAGGGACGTAGCGTAAGGTGGGCCCCCTGGGCCCGGCCCCGAAATCGGCCGGGGCCCGAAAATTTCATAAGGGGGGACCCTTATGATTTTTATTTTCTCAAAAATTTTGCTGCCTGCGGCGCTATTTTTACAAGTTTTTATTGCTATTTGTAGATCTATGTAGCCTTTTTCCCAAAATTTTTCGGCTGCGGCGCTGTTTTCCGTTTAATTTTTTGAGTTTTCGGGAAAAATTTTTCGGGGCCCCCGAAATTTTTTTCTGGCTACCCCCCTGTAACCAACCCTCAAACCCTACGAAGAAGACGTGCACAAGACAGGCAATCCCACCATTGAATGTGCTTACCGACAAATCCATAACAGGCAGCTTCAGCATCGTGTATTCGGGGAAAGGGGCCTGGAGCTTCGTCATCAACTCCCCTTGCATCGATTCATCCAACCACTCCATTAGTTCCCGGTTCGGAGGCAAACAATTCACATAGCCCATAGAGTATTTTTGCACAGGTTTGTGCCGCTTCAGAATAGCGAGTTGGTCGCATTCGCAGTCTATCACCGGATTCTCACACCGTATGTTGATATCTTCTGGTAAAGGCACGCCAAGTTCTAGTCTCTTCACGGTAGAATGATTGAAAATCAGCTTCCAGGCTTCCGTGTCCGAGATGCATCCCCCCGGCACGAATTCGGATTTCACGGTAATGGTCGGGCTCCGCCTCTGATAATTGATTTCAGCAGGCCAATATTTGTCCCGGCAACCCCTGGCGACATCCAGCACCTTTTTGCTTGCAATGGCCGTCTTGAAGAAGCTTCGAATGTTCATATGACGAAGGAGGCAGTGTTGTATTTCTAAGGGGAATGCGCAGAAGTCCATCTCAATCTGGAAATGCAAAGTTGTAATGTTGGTTAGGAAAAGCGACAGAGAGAGTCGGTGATAGAGAGGGAGAGAGCGGTATAGAAAAAGATAGCTTGAGTCTTACTAAAAACTTCATTCTCCAATGAAACAAAAACCTGGGGGAATGATAAAGGTGAGGCAAGTTCGATGAGAGCAAATGATGCTTTTATTGGGATTAATCGACCCTTTCAACATTCAACGACATCAAAAGACAGATACGCGGGCATTAACGTTCAATCTATACGACCTGGGTACCCGGAGGGCAGGAGGGCATTTGAGCAGACCGGGTTTCCACCCATTATTTGGCGCGTTCTCATATCATCTCTCTCGCTCCCTCTCTCTCTCTCTCTCTCTCTCTCTCTCTCTCTCTCTATCTCTCTCTCTATCTCTCTGTCTCTATATCTAACATAAACCTAAGCCTTCGCCGCTGTGAAAAAGTGTAGATAATATTTTCCGAAAATAACAACGGTCAGCTTATTCAGCCACTAAATCCAAATTCCAACAGATCGAGTCAAAACGTCAAATCCGCCCTGTGCTAGCATTATTTACGGACCTTCCAAGGCCGATTCCGCGAGAAATTTACCGTTGGCAGTCGGTTTGATGTGTGCACCTGAAAGAGCACCAAAAATAGTACCGAAAACAGTTATGAGTGGCAAACGGACTTCTGGCGGTTTGGACTGTTGCGTGTCGGGATGTAAAAGCATGATTTATTCAGTATTGTTTGTCTTAAATTGTCCAGTTTTGTTCCAGCAATTCTGCCGAACTCAATATTTATCTGAACGTTAGCGGCCCGAAGAGGTGCATCGGGCTTTTTATCTGTGCCTTGACGTAGGCAATTAGCAATCGGTGTTCAAATTTGTGCGTTTCCCCAGCAATCGACGAACGGTGATGCCTCTTCATGCTGGCTTCACGCTAATACTTCTGTTGTGCTCCATGTTGGTTGTTTTCCTGAATTTTACGTGAAATCTGTTGGGATAGACTGACGATGGAACCAGCAATCTATATAGGGCACGCCGGTACGCTGGGTTCACCGCCACCAAAAATAGGGAATTGAGGAAACCGTTTGAGCAGATGAGGGCAAAGATGAAGTTGTTGATGGCTGAAAGACGGCTTAAATCGCCCCCTCCCTCCCTCTCTCTCCCTCTCTCTCTCTCTCTCTCTCTCTCTCTCTCTCTCTATCCCTCCCTCTCTCTCTACCTGGATGTGGGCCTATTGCTTGGGAGACAAGGATAATCACAAAATATATCCACGGTACACCCGAAGTGATAAATGGGATGCCAAACTAAAACCTATAGTGTCGGAGCTGCAAACATTAAAAAATACTTGTGCGCAGAAGGTAATCAAAAACGCCATCTGTAACCGTCGCGTTTTCTCACTCATGTGCCGTGATTCGTTACGAAGAATGTGAAAAGAATGGCTGATGCAGGCGATGTTCTGAAAATTGGATTACGGTATCAATAGATACCTATTAATATACAGGGTGTCCCAAAAAAACGACCCCCCTAGCGGTCCGGGGAAAGGTCGGACCGGCATGATTTTTACACGATTCGAAAGATCTCGGAAAGGCGAGAAAACAAGCGCTTTTCGTTTTCCAAATATATTCAGCCCGCGCTCGAGATTCAACGATTTCTTAGAAATGATTAAAATCAGCGTCGGCCTGTTTGCTTTAGAAAGCAATTAATATACTGATTTTGCATAAAATCCGCAGTTTTCATAGATTTTGGTTCTATGTAAATTTAGTGCACCAAAAAAACAAAAACCAAATATAGAAAAACAAAAAATGCATTTTTGCTTGCCTTTCCGAGAGCTTTCGATAGATACCTAAACCGTCACAATCGGACGTGACTGCGGCCCACTAGTGGGGGTCGTTTTTTTGGGACGCCCTGTACGATGATCGATAGACGTAATCATTCAAATTTTCCCATTTTTTAAGCACCTACAATCCCAATATTAGTCGACGCAATAATCAAGGCCGTCACCCCAAATACCGTTATGATTGGCACTTTTGTATAGGGGAAGTCTCCATTGGTAGCTGCATATACAAATGGGTAGTGTAGCAGCTCGGACATGCATGGATATTCCTAAAAACATCGATGAAGTGATGTATAATAGTAATACAGCGAATATCAGCTGAAGCTGTGAAGAGCTCGGAGCGGTTTCAAACGGAAGCAACTCGATGATGGTCGAGATGCTGAAGGTGTTCAGGATGTAAAAGATGATCACCACAGTGATCCAGAATTTTGGTGACATTCTAAGGTATTGGAAGTTAAGGTAAAAAAGTAGGAAAGCACTTGTAGCGACTATTCCGGTCCAGGAGCAGCTGATGTTTGAAAGTGAAAACTTGCGTTACGGATACTTGATAAGTCATTGTTAGAAAAGCACCGATGCCCTAAAAATCGTAGCCGGTTAGGTCGTCAAAACGAAAGGGTACGAGAAAGAGAAAGAGAGAGAGAGAGAGAGAGAGAGAGAGAGAGAGAGAGAGAGGGGAGGGAGGGAGGGAGGGAGCGTGAGAGAGAGAGTCATAGAGAACGAAGAGAGATTGCACCTCTACTTACAAACGCTTGTCGAACCCCAAATCCAAAAACCGTATCCCAAGGGCCGAGAATCCGCCCAGCATATTCAGGAAAATATAGTTCCGGCACGATCGCAAACATTACGGCTTCATAAACCATTGATATCGTCTGAAACTCGACATACTTTTTGGAACGGTAATCACGACCAACGTGTGCTATCAAAAATTGGACCCGAATTTCCTTCATATGTGGCGGGGTCCAGTAGATGACCAAATAGAAAGCGAGTATCCCGAGGGGGATGCTGACGAAAGGCAACAGCTCCGCGTAGGTTTTGTACAGCCACGGTTCATCGTAGCAACTCGGGACGGTGGTAGTTGGCATGCGGGGGGTAGCAGAGTGAAATATGCTTTTGACTTACGGGTATTTTTCAAACCCAGGGTCAGTTTTAAAGTTTAGCCGAATGTCAGGCAACAACAAGAAATTCGATCCGCTGGGTTGAATGCGGGAACGAGCAGGTGAAAGTTTAGGGTCGTCTGGAAATCGCGGCCAGCGAATATTTTTCAATGTTTCGATTCCAACGGTTTGGTGAGTTATAGTGATAGAGAGCGAGAGCGAGTGAGAGAGAGAGAGAGAGAGAGAGAGGGAGAGAAGAAACGCCGAAAGAATACAAAGTTCCCCAATGCGAGTTGACGATGTGAATCGGGTTTCAGGCCAAGTCTACGAGTAAGTAAGTCAAGTAGGACATGCTTTTCAGGTAATCCCCGAATTCTGTGGCTCCTATTCATACCTCTAAACACACATTTTTCGCTGCAGTTTTCAGGTCCATTTCTAATCAAAATTTATTCAACCATTAAACACAAATTCAATCAGCTTATCCTCCGCATCCCCATCAATTTCGATATGTTCCAGATCAGCAATTTCCGCGATATTCTGTGAAAGCCGGAATCTCACGATCAGCGCATCGTCATTTACTCTTCTGATACGGTAGTAGGCACATTCGTAGTCAGATGTGTGGTAGATTCTCTGGTAATCCGTCAGGAAAACTGGCGGATGAATGTTCGGCCAAGTTGGCAGCGTTATCAGATGGATCTCACGCTCATGAGCTCGCCACTCTGAAAGTATCCTTTTCCCGTAGGCTTCTAAGCTACTTTCCGATGGCTCAGCGGAGTCAAGGCGCAATTCCGGGTGCGTGAGCAGCGCATATGCCGATATCGGCACCGACGTGTTGATGCTTAGGGCTTCGGTATGCTCATTGAGCCACAGCATTAATTCGGGTTCCGGCGAAACCCTCTGATGAAGCGTTATCCTGCTATATTTCCCCGTCGGCTTATAGCGCTGAAGAATCTTGTAGAGGCGGGAGCACGAAAAGTACATCTCGAATTCGAGTGCTCGAAGATCATGCGGCCCTGAGCTACAAGAACCTCTAAGTTCCAACTTGCGCACCGTCGAGTCTTGGAATAGCAGACGTAGAGTCTGCTCGTTTGTGTAGTACGTTTTTACAGCTGGCTTATCGGAGAAGAACCAGCGCCCATGCGCGCAAAGGTTCAAATCCCAATACTTGTTACGGCATATCTTCGCAACTTCTAGCATCTGCCTGTTTAAAACCGCAGTTTTCAAGTAGCTTTTCACATCCATGTACCGCATGCAACGATACTGTACGGCGATTGGGAAATCCCGGAAACTGATCTCCATCTGAAAAGTGGGAATTGTGAATGCTAAGGAATTAAACAAATTAAGACGAGAGCGAAACCACGGCGTACCGAGCGAAACCACTGAGAGAGCAGAGAGAGAGAGAGAGAGAGAGAGAGAGAGAGAGAGAGAGAGACGAGGAAAAGCAATCCTATCTTCAGGACGAAAATCCTTTCTACGAAAATGAACTGTTTTAGACATCAGCTGTCTGAAAAATCCTCTGCATTTTCAGAAGCATTTCCGCCCATAACTAAGATTTATCTACCACAGATAACAATCATTCCATATTAAACATAAAATCAGCAAGATTCTCGTCGTCCCCCACGAATGTGCCCAAACGGTAGTGCTTGGCCTCGTGCAGATAAGCGTCGTTGACGTCGACGGCTAATCGAACGATCAAAATGTCGGCGTTTTGGCGGCGGATCCGATAATATGTAAATAGTTGACCTTCCAGCATCGGGTAGGCGGCGAAGAATCGTGGTGCGGAAAGCCGGGGTCCAGTTTGACTAGATAGAATAGCCATCGAATATATCTCACGCTCGCCCTCATCCATTCTTCAATCACAACTTGTGCGTAGTCTTCAAAAATGGAGTCTGATAGCTGTGTTGCCCACAGCCGAAGCTCAAGTATCTTCAGGTGGGTGTATTCAGATAGTAAGCCACTAACTCGTAATTCAAGCTGGTAAGCTGATGCGTTCATCCATTCCATCAATTCCGGATCCGCCGTGATTTCTTCAAACATTGTAAGCGTTGCATACCTTCCAGCGGGCTTATGGCGCTTTAGAGTTGAGAGCAAATCGGGGCGCCCCAAGTGCGTCGTGAGTATTTCGCTTTTGATGTCAATATCATCGGGAAGCGCGGAAGCAAGGGAAAGGCGGCATACGGTGGAATTATGGAAAATTATCTTGAAGTGTGACATGTTGTCGAAAGATAGATTTTGTACAGGGTGAAGACCTGGCCAGACACTTACGCCACCATTTAGGTCGCGGTAGATTTCGACGTCGAAATATTTGTCTCGACAATCCACGGCCATTGCCATCATTTGCTGACTGGCGATAGCCGTCTTGAAGAAGTTTTTAATGTCCATGTGCCGAAGGATGTTGTGCTGGACCTCAGTTGGCAGCGCACAGAAGTTGTCCATTGTCTGCAATGGGAATATTAATATTTCAGTTGGATAGCACGACGTCAGGATCTCACGATATGAAGAACGACAAGACGACAAGGCTTCTCATGATATGTATTAAGAAGACTTAGAGAGAGAGAGAGAGAGAGAGAGAGAGAGAGAGAAAGCTACTGGGTAATCGTTTATCCAAATTGTCGCTATTCTGGCTAATTTTGTCGAGTTTATTTGCGAAAGCGTTCGTTAGAAGATCACAAACTATACTAATAGTTTGAATATTGCGCAAAGGAAAATATTCTCCGAATCTGGGTGGTTGAAATGGTAGATCTCGATAATTTCACCATTATTTCGATATTGTAAGATGCCATTCGATAAAGCGCTAAAAAATGTAGGATGAATTCAAATGTCAGCCCATTTCGGCCAGGATAAGCAACTTATGGCAAAAACTTGGAAAATCCGGAAACACTGTTAAACAGTAATCTGACCTTTCAGCTGGGGGAGGTAAATGAAGCCCTTATCAGGTCTAGGATGCTAATCTCGTCAACTGGCAGATAACAGATTTTTGGGAATTATGTTGGTGTACCAAGGCTAGTATTTGAATGGTCGCCCTGCGCTCATCCCCGAGGATATACTGGATTGACCCGGGGGCAAACAGTTAAGTAAGCTCATTTGCTCCATCTGTCTCTCTCTCTCTCGCTCTCTCTCTCTCTCGCTCCCTCTCTCATTCTCTCTCTCTTTTTGTAGTTACAGAATTCTGCAATATTTATATCCATACAATTTATTCACTCATTAAATATAAATTCAATCAGCTTATCCTCCGCATCGGCATCAATTTCGATATGTTCAAGGTCAGCAATTTCCACGATGTTCTGTGAAAGCCGAAATCTGACGATCAGCACATCTCCATACACTCTTTTGATGCGAAAGTACACAGTTTGATAGTCAGGTGCTCGATAGATCCTCTGATATTCAGTCAGAAAAACTGGCGGATAGATGTCAAACCGCGTTGGCAGCGTTATCAGATGGATTTCACGTCGATTGGTCCGCCATTCTAGAAGCACCGCTTTTCCATAGGCCTCTAGCTGCGATGCCGAAACCTCTGTCGTCTCTAACCAAATTTGAGGCATTTTCAACGAAGTATATTCCGATATCGGCGCTGACGGATTGATTCTCACAGCATCGGTCCACTCATTCAACCATTCAAGCAATTCTGGAACTGGCCTGACCGGCTGCTCAATCGAGACGCTTCTATACTTTCCCTCCGGTTTGTGCAGCTCCAGCACGCCAAACAGGGAGTCGCACCGAAAATTGAGCTCGATCTCGTGAGCCCGAACATAGACCGCGCTATACATTGGTGCCTGGCCATGTAACGTCAATTTTCGTACAGTCGATCCATGGAATAGTAGACTAAATTCCTCGAAGAATGCGAACCGCTTTGTCGCATTGGAACCTTCACAAAAATATCGGCGACCATCCTCTTGCTCGCAAATATCCACATCCGCCCAGTGCTTGTCATCGTACTTCTCGGCTATTCGGCGCATTTTCTTGCTGCTAATTGCCGTTCTGAAGAAGCTTTTCACATCCATGTAGCTGAAGATTTTGTGCTGCACGTGGAGCGGAAAATCGGTGAAGCGGATCGGGGAGCCAATGGGTGTTGCCAGAAAGTGCGAAAACATCAGCTGAAATTAAAAATATATAGTTAGTTCCGGTATGTCCCAGAAGAACGATCGTAAACCGTAAATGTCCGGAAAATGACCAGTAAAAAATGTTCACATTATTTTTTTTGGTGCTGTAGGTTCTTTCTGCGGGGGCAACCAATTTTTCCCCGGTGGTCCGGTTGGTCTAGTCACCAATATAAAATTTTTTTACATTCTTTTTAGTAAGCCTTAACGATATGCAGTAAAACGTAGAAAAACTCGAACATTCGGT